CATTGATCTACTTGTCTATTTTTGTGCTGATACCAAGCTGTTTTCAGTACTATGGCTCTATAATAGAGCTTGAAGTTAGGGATGGTGATGCCTCTGGATGTTGCTTTATTGAATAGGGTTGTTTTGGCTATCCTGGATCTTTTGTTTTTCCATATAAAGTTGATTATTGTTCTTTCAAGGATTGTGAAGACTTGTGCTGGGATTTTAATGGTGATTGTGTTAAATCTGTAGATTGCTTTTTGCAAGATTGCCATTTTTACTATATTGATCCTACCTATCCAAGAGCATGGGAGATCTTTGCATTTTATGGTGTCTTCTTTAATCTCGTTGTTTAAAGACTCAAAGTTATTGTGATACAGGTCTTTCACTTGTTTGGTTAGTGTTACCCCAAGGTATTTTATGTTGTATGTGGCAATTGTAAAGGGTGATGTTTCTCTTATTTCTTTCTCTGCCCTTTTATCGTCTGTATATACTAGGGCTATTGATTTTCTTGAGTTGATCTTGTATCCTGTCACTTTGCTGAAGGTATTCATCAGCTATAGGAGTTCCCTGGTAGACTTTTTTTTGGGTCACTTATATAAAGTATCCTATCATCTGCAAATAGTGAAAGTTTGATCTCTTCCTTTTCAATTTGTATCCCCTTCATTTCTCCTTTTGTTGTCTTATTGTTTTAGCTAGAACTTCAAGTAGGATATTTAAGAGGTATGGAGAGAGTGGACAGTCTTGTCTTGTCCCTGATTTTAGAAGAATTGCCTTGAGTTTCTCTCCATTCAGTCTGATGTTGGCTGTTGGTTTGCTATATATAGCTTTTATTATATTTTAGGTATGTTCTTGTTATCCCTGATCCCTCAAAGATCTTTATCATGAAGGAGTTTTGAATTTTGTCAAAGACTTTTTCAGCATCTAATAAGATGATGGTGTGATTTTTGTTTCTCAGCTTGTTTATATGGTGAATTACATTGATTTTCGTATGTTGAACCATCCCTATATCCATAGGATGAAGTCTTCTTGGTCATGGTGGATGATTGTTTTGATGTGTTTTTGGATCTGATTTGCCAGTATTTTATTGAGTATTTTTGCATCAATGTTCATGAGGGAGATTGGTCTGAAGTTCTCTTTCTTAGTTGTGTCTTTGTGGGGATTGGGTATTAAGGTTGTTGAAGCCGCCTAAAAAGTGTTTGGCAAAGACCCTTGTGCTTCTATTGCATGGAATACTTTGGGGAGAATTGGTATAAGCTGTTCTTTGAATTTCTGTTAAAATTCTGCACTGAGGCCATCTGGACCTGAGCTTTTTTTGGTTGGAAGACTTTTGATGACTGCTTCTATTTCCTTAGGGGTTATAAATCTATTTAAATTGCTTATCTGTTCTTGATTTAATTTTGGCAAGTGATATCTATCCAGAAATTTTTCCATTTCCTTTAAATTTTCAAAATTTGTGGAGTACAAGTTTTCAAAGTACGACCTAATGATTCTCTGGATTTCCTCAGCGTCCGTTGTCATGTCCTCCATTTCATTTCTGATTTTGTTAATTAGCATGCTCACATTCTACCTTTTGGTAAGTCTGGGTAAAGGTTTATCCATCTTGTTGATTTTCTAAAAGAACCAACTCTTCATTACATTAATTCTTTGTATTGTTTTCCTAGTGTCTGCTTTATTGATTTCAGCCCTCAATTTGATTATTTCCTGGCATCTACTCCTCCTGAGTGAGTTGGCATTTTTTGTGTTCTAGAGCTTTCAGTTGTGCTGTTAATTCTCTAGTGTAACTATTCTCCAGTTTCTTCATGTGGGCACTTAGTGCTGTGAACTTTCCTCTTAGCATTGCTTTCAAAGTGTCCCATAAGTTTGGGTATGTTGTGTTTTCTCATTTAATTCTAGGAAGTCTTTAATTTCTTTTTTTATTTCTTCTTTGACCCAGGAATGGTGTAATTGTGCATTATTCAATTTCCATGAGTTTGTAGGGTTTCTGCAATTTGTGTTGTTGTCGAATTCAAATTTTAACACATGGTGGTCTGATAAGATGCATGGAGTTATTCCAATTTTTTGTACCTGATGAGGTTTGATGTGTTGCCAAATATGTGGTTGATTTTTGAGAAGGTTCCATGTGGCATTGAGAAGAAAGTATATTCTTTTTTATTTGGATCGAAAGTTCTATGGATGACTGTTAAACCCAATTGGGTCATAACTTCTATTATTTCCTTTGCTTCTTTGTGAAGTTTCTGTCTAGTAGTCCTGTCTAGTGGGGAGTGTGGGGTGTTGTAGTCTCCCACTATAAGTGTGTGGGGTTTTATATGTGATTTGAGTTTTAGTAATGTTTCTTTCATGAACATGGATGTCTTTGAATTTTGGGCACAGATGTTCAGAATTGAGACTTCATCTTGGTGGATTTCTCCTGTTATGAGTATGAAATGACTTACATTATTTCTCTTAATTGCTTTTAGTTTAAAGTCTAATTTGTTAGATATTAGGATTGCTACCCCTGCTTGTTTCTTGGGTCCATTTGATTGGAAAATTTTTTTCCAACCCTCAACTCTGAGGTAATGCCTGGCTTTGAGGCTGAGGTGTGTTTCTTGTATGCAGCAGAAGGATTGGTTCTGTCTTCGAATGCATTCTGTTAGCCTGTGTCTTTTTATGGGCAAGTTAAGATCATTGATATTGAGAGATATTAATGACTTTGATTGCTCATTCTTATTAGTTTTGGAATGGTTGTTGGTGGTAGAATGATATATGGATTTCCACCCCTTTTTTCTTTTGGCTGTTGGTAAGGTATGATTGCGTATTGCCTATGTTTTTCTGGTTGTTGCTAACTTCCTTGGGTTGGAGTTTTCCTTTCAGGACTTTCTGTAGGGCTGGGTTAGTGGATATGTATTGCTAGAATCTGTTTTTGTCATGTAATATCTTGTTTTTTTCCATCTACAGGGATTGAAAGCTTTGTTGGGTATAGTAGTCTTGGCTGGCATCCTTGACTCTTAGTGTTGGTAGAATATCTATCCAGGACCATCTGGCTTTCAGAATTTCCATGGAGAAGTCAGGTGTAATTCTGATAGGTATGCCTTTGCATGTTACTTGTCCTTTTTCCTTAGCTGCTTTTAATATTTTTTCCTTAATTTGTATGTTTGTGGTCTTAATTATTATGTGGCGAGGGAATTTTTTTGTGGCTCATTCTGTTTGGTGTTCTGTAAGCTTCTGTACCTTCATTGGCATGTCTTTCTTTAGGTAGGAAATTTTTTCTTCTATGATTTTGTTGAATATGTTTTCTGCTCCTTTGAGGTGGGTTTCTTCACCTTCTATACCTACTATTGTATAGTAGGTGTCCCATACTTCCTGGATATTTTGTATTAAGGATTTGTATATTCAACACCTGAGATTCTCTCTTCCATCTCTTGTAGTCTGTTGGTATCTGTAGTACATGACCATTTGCCTAGCTTTTCTATTTCCAGCCTTCCTTCAGACTGTTTTTTATTGTTTTTAGTTCAGTTTTCAACTCCTGCACTGTTTGCATTTTTCTTGCAGTTTTTGTTTGGTCTTTTCCTTCATTTATTGCATTTTTAAATCTTTTGGTTTGTTTTTTCTTCCATTTCTTGGTTTGTTTTTCCTTCCATTTCTTTAAGGGATTTTCCTATATCCTCTTTGAGGGCCTCTATCATTTCCATGAAATTGTTTTTAGGTGAATCTCTTCTGCTTCATTTGCATTGGAATTTTCAAGTCTTGCTGGTGTAGAATCTGTAAACCCCATTGGTTTCATATTTGTTTTCCTGATGTTGAGTGTGTTTTTGTATTGTCTCCTTCCTATCCCTTCTTCTAGTGGGTGCAGAAACAGCCTCTTCCTAGCCTGGTGTGAGGGGACCAGAGTTCCCTTTTAGTGGGTGCAAGCAAGTCCAATACTGGCAATTCTCCTCTTTCTGGTCCTAGTCCTGGTCTTGTGGTTGGAGAATGAGATTAGGATGCTTGAGTGTGTAGGCTCCTGCTGGGACATAAGGCTCAGTGGCAGTCTCCAGGCAGTCGCCAGGCACTTGAATCCAGGCCTGGACACATGAATTTTTACAATAGTTTTAAATCACTTGCAGAGCCACTTCATACAGGTAGAAACCACAGGTGGAATGATGACTGGTCCCAACGAACACATATTTCTGCCTTTGTTTTCATGTTTTCAATACTTACATATGCCATAAATGCATATATTTTATATGTGTGTTTATCTTAAATGATTTATGCTGAGAATCATCTGACTGGGGTTCTTTTCTTCTCCTCAGCTAGGAGTCATATAGGAAAAGAGAAGCTACTCTTCTGCTGACAATTCCAGACCCTGGGTCCCCAAAGCCTAGAGTATGGGCTGAGCTAATACGCAAAGAGCAAATATTAATACATCACATACATGAGAACTAACTCTTCCCATCCAAGCAATGGGTTTACATATGCTGATGAACATGGAAATATAGCATAACAAGCTGAGATCACTTAGAAATAATTTCTTGTAGGATCTCCAAATGTATAAGTCAAGATTCATCTACACATACATAAATTTATGAATTTTAGAAAATCTTACAAAAATACTAATGAATTTTATTTTACTTTTTCTTCTAGTATAATGTCACTAATATTCTTTAAAATCATTTACATAACAGAAAAATGTTGACAATTGTTTCTCATACTTTTTCTTTAATTGTTTGTAGAATTAAAGAAAGGTAAGAGTTTGCTTCATTGAGATGTTTACATATTTTGTAAACAAAATTCATAAAAGAACTATTTAATTCTAGATTATGTTCCTATAATTACCTCTGAAGAATTTTAAAAAAAATTTGAGAGAGAATACCCTGCTTCTTAGAATTATTAAGGAATTAAGTCCCATGTTGTGAGAACCTGTGTAAAAGCAGAAGTTACAACTGTAATGGGGCTGGGCAGTGCCCGACAATGTATATAGAGAATTTTCAACATTTCTGAGATGTCACAGGTCATTTAAACTCTGTCTAGACCAAAATATTTAAGAATTGGACTAACCTTCTAAAATTCTTTATTAGCAGACATTTTCCCATTATTTTCAATTAAAAATAGTGCCGAGTAAGAGAGTACACTAAAACAAAATGATGGTTAGTAAAGATTCTTCTAAGACAGCCAGAAAGAACACATCAATATTTGTTTGCTTACTTATTCATTGTCAGGATTTTCTCAGGCCCAGAGTTCTCCTCAGTGCTGCTTTGACTTCCTTGTTCCGTAAACTATAGATAATGGGGTTCAGAGTGGATGTCACCACTGTATAGAAGAGGGCCAAGAGTTTATCTGTTCCTGGTGAGTGGCTACCCTTGGGCCTCAAGTAAGTGGCAGATGTTGAGCCATAGAAGAGTGTGACTACAAGTAGGTGGGAAGAACAGGTGGAGAGAGCTTTATGGCGTCCCTCAGGGGAAGGCATCACCAGCACTACAATCAGAATTCTGACATAGGAAGAAATGATCAGTAAAAAGGGACTGAATATGCAGAGGACTGCTGCCACAAAGACTGCAGCCTCATTATGGGATGTATCTCCACAGGCAAGTGTCAGGAGAGGTGGAAGGTCACAGAAGAAGTGGTCTATCTCACAGGGTCCACAGAAGTCCAAAGAAAAAATAAAATTGGTCTGTCCCAACCCTACTATGCATCCCATTCCCCATGAAACCATTGCCAAATGGGCACATACCCCACGACTCATTCGGGTTGCATAATGGAGAGGGGAGCATATGGCCATGTAGCGGTCAAAGGCCATGGCTGCCAATAGGCAACACTCAGTTATTCCAAAGAATATAAAGAAAAACATCTGTGTGGTGCAACCCTGTCGAGAGATCCCTCGTGCCTCAGTCATAAGGCTCTGCAGCATCTTGGGTATTACAGAGCATGTGTATCCAATCTCCAGGAGAGACAAGTTGGCCAGAAAAAAGTACATGGGGGTGTGTAGGGCTGGACTGGTGCAAATGGCAAGGGCTATGAGTGCGTTGCCTGTCAGTGATGCCAGGAACATGAAGAGGACGAGGGTGAACAGGAGGAAGCATTCTCTGGGGTCCTCAGAGAACTTGGCAAATGCAAAGCGTTTGACAGAGAAGGTGTTCTCCTGCCACAGAGAGCAATTAACATTCATCTCCTGGAAGAGAGAACAGAAAAGTAATCAGAAGAATTCTTGCAATGAGGGAAATTATTCAGTCTCTATCTGTCTGTCTGTCACATGTGAGTGTAATATATGTACATACATGCACTTGTTGATAGTTGATTCCAACCACTAACAAAGTGCACTTTTCCTTAAGTATATTTTGTATAATTTAGTGGTGGAAAATTAAAGTTAACTAATCATTGTCAAATTGTGTAAAACCAGGACATGTCCTTGGTACTGAACATGTAAATGAGGTGGTCAGAAAATATTCTTTTTTTTTTCACGCATCATTAACATTTATTGATATTTCCCATAGTATTCATAGCTGACAGCCCACTGCAGCTTTACATGAATCCTCATGCCCACTTGTTCAGGCTTTTAACTTGGAGGGAGGGTGGAAGGGGAGTGCGGGAGGAGGGGAGGGAGAGGGAACTGGGATTGACATGTAAAACAAGCTATTTAAAATTAAAAAAAAAACTAACAAAAAAAAAGATTAATTAAATCAGGTAAATGTAAATCTAAATTAAAATTAAATCATATAATACCGACAAATTGTTTCAGAAAATATTCTTGAGAACTAACTATAAGCTGAGACGAGTGGGAAGGACCAGACCTTCAAGAGCACTGTCCGTTATATCAAATCTATGTGAGTGCCTCAGCGTGGCAGCTAATTTAATTCTCTTAGTTCCCCTATCTTTATCAAACTATGTTTGCTAAGTAAAGGATTTCAGATTAAAATTTAATTTTTAAATTTGATTCATGAAAATCTGTGGATAAGGCTACTAAAACTTGGTTGAAACAAAACAACAGAAAAAGATGAGGCTGGGTCTTGTTATGTAGCCTAGACTGCTCTCAAAAGGAACTTTCCTGCTGTGCCCCACCCTATCCTCCAGTCATTGCCCAAGTTTTCAGAGTTCTGGGATTACAGGCAAGAGCCACCAGAAACCTTTACCTTACAGATTTCCTAAATGGACTTCATATTTCATATCTGTCAGGCCGCTTGCATTTTTAGTGTACACGGTGTTCACCTGTTTTTTTCCTCTTGTTCATTTTCTTACAGGCTGGTACCTCCTTGGTTGTTTACCTGATGAATGTCAGGAGCGATCATTGTTATTTAGAACCTCTTGTAAATATTGGCAGCCCTTTTTTTTGGATTTTTCGAGACAGGGTTTCTCTGTATTGCTTTGGAGGCTCTCCTGGAACTCACTCTATAGACCAGGCTAATATTGCCAGCCTTTTTAAAGAATAGCCCATCGTGTTAAAGAATAGCTACCTTCAGTCCCATTCAACCATATTCCCCTCCCCAGCTTCCCAATGAATAGAACTTGGGCTCACATGAATAGCCAATGGCAAAAAGGAAGCATTCCACAATTAGATCATCTAACCCTTCCTTTTGCGGCCCTTACACCTTCCCAACATCTGCTATCTGCTCACCTTCAGGGGCCTGGTTACTAGGCAATGACCCCTTTCCTTTGATTGCTCTACCTTGTTTCCCTCCCTAAACACTATATAACGAGCCTGAGAAAAACAAAATCTCGCAGCTTGATCAGAAAGCCTGTCTTGCTATCTGTTCTTTGTGTCTCTTGTCCCTTTCATTTCAGGTACCTGTGGCCATGACCCCCGTTATGCCCTGCTGGCCAGGGCAGATGAACAGTTCGGTCTTTTTTTTTTTTTTTTTTTTTTTTTTTTTTGGTTTTTACGAGACAGGGTTTCTCTGTATTGTTTTGGAGGCTTTCGGTCCAGCCTGGCCTCGAACTCACAGAGCTCCGCCTGCTTCTGCCTCCCGAGTGCTGGGATTAAAGGCGTGTGCCACCACCGCCCGGCAAACAGTTCAGTCTTAGCACAGCTTTGTCACCTGTAATACTTTTATGCATCTTCACTCCTTCTTAGCAATATTTTTGTTGTTGCACAGAGATCTCTGTTTATAGGGTCTGTTGTATCATGCCAATTAAATGTTCATATATATACACATATACATATATATGTTATATATTCTTATATCTGGAAGAAGCTACACACTTTCCTCAGTGACATAGATATAGAGACCCAGGGAAAAATATAGCTGCAAAGAAGAATGCCTGACTAGTGCTTAAGTGATGATTTCAAAACTGTCCTTTGTAAATAGCCTTATCCCACTTACTCTGCAGCAACCAAGTGCAAACACCTGCATTAGTGATGAGGGCCAGAAAGTCTGGGGAAACGGAGGTGGTTCTTGAAGGGGGGATGGATGGCAGTAATATTGGCAACCTAAAAGTCTGTACATTCATAATCATTTTATACTATTTGTACTTATAGGACAAAAGGAAATATACATCCTGTCAAAACTACATTTTACACCTTCCAATATTCAGAATCAGAATGTCTACAAATACTTTACAATTATTATCTAGAAAAATGCTATTCTGTATAGATAGAAAAATATTAAATCACACAAAATGAATGTATAGTTCTCAAGAGAAGTGAAAATTTTGAAATCAGTAAAATTTCTCTCCTTGTTATTTGAAATGATATTGAAAGAGGCTAAATCTGATTGAATTTTCTATTCTTTTAGTCCTCCATCAGCTGTTGACTTCATCCTCAGGATCATGAGATCAATGTAAAGAGTTCAGTTTGGAATTCATACCAGTTTTTATAATGATCCATGGAAGTAGAATGATGTCTCATGTACTTCATGTAGATATATGCAGTGCACACACAGATCTCAGAGCTCCTCAGAAAGAAGAAAGCACAAGTTTCAGATTCATCAATTTGAGCTGTTTCAAGGATGCTAGGAAATAATCAAATTGAGGGCTGAAATCAATAAAGTAGAAACCACGAAAACAATACAAAGAATCAATGCAACGAAGAGTTGGTTCTTTGAGAAAATCAACAAGATAGACAAACCTTTGTCCAAACTTACCAAACAGCAGAGAGTGAACACGCAAATTAACAAAATCAGAAATGAAAAGGGGGACATAACAACAGACTCTGAGGAAATCCAGAGAATCATTAGGTCATACTTTGAAAACCTGTACTCCACAAAATTCAAAAATTTAAAGGAAATGGATGACTTCCTGGACAGCTATCATTTGCCAAAACTAAATCAAGAACAGATAAGCAATTTAAATAGACCTATAACCCCTATGGAAATAGAAGCTGTCATCAAAAGTCTCCCAACCAAAAAAAGCCCAGGTCCAGATGGCCTCAGTGCAGAATTCTACCAGAAATTCAAAGAAAAGCTTCAAACATTTTTAAGCCAACTATAAATACATAGTAAATTGTTCATAAAAATACAGAACTGCTTGCCCTGAGAAGCCTCATGTGGAGGTAGTCAGGGGCATTGTGTAGTTATCCTCTGTAGTATCCAGTTTATAATCCACAACAACAGAATGAAGCCATTTCCATACATTTGTGATGTAATGTGTTCTCTACCAATTATGAACTCTGTTCTATACACAGATATTCAATGTCATGGAGGTCATGTTGTAGTAGACAATGTTCAATAAACACTGGCATGGTTTAGAAGATTGACATCATGAGGTGTGTTTTTAGTGGTGGGTCAATATAGGAAAGACATGGTATATGAGTTGAAATTATTTTAGTATCTCAGTGACTTTGATTTATATGATATGTTACACAACTTGAAGATCCAGAGCAAGAACACTCTGTATGGTTCAGCTTTATGAATAATCGAAGTGAGTGGATTCATTGCCCACTGGTGTCACATGATTAGATATGTTCATTGGTGGACCTAGTCCTTTATATCATCTTTTTTTGCCTAAATGTTTCTTATCTTCTGTGAGCTGAAGGAAAGCATGGTACATCATTGACACTATTCATGAAACACTGCTGTGTCTGTATGTAGAAATGCTCAGGTAATGTTCATCTTCACCATCATGCAGACACTATTTCTAAAATCCTGTATTAGTGCATACAAGTTCTATAGATTGTTAGGAAAATATTATTAGGAGTCTTACACCCTACTTCCCAATTTCTCCATAATCATTCACAATGAACCATTTTGCAGCTGAGTGTCACTTTAGCTCAACCCAGTAGAAAATTTTGGATCAATTGACTAGATAATAGTGAACTATGTAATGTGGGTATCTCCACATCACGGCATTAAGTGATGTGTTGATTTCCCACAAACTTAAGCTATTTTCTGACGAAGAAGTCAGTAGTGTGAGTTGACTGTTACACTCCTAAGAGATGAAGGCGATACTTAAAATAGGAATAAGAACCCAAAAATTCTTTGAGAATCAGCTATTCATTTTTAGACTTTTGTTCGCCTCTTCAAACCCAGTATTTACAACTTAGCTGTGGTACATACCTTCACAAAAGGATTATTTGTCTGCCTCCTGGCTTTCTCTGCATCCTCTTCTTACAACAAGCAAGGGATTCACATTGTCCTCATTCTCATCTCTAAGCCTGTGCATTAAAAACCTTTGATGCAGTAAAGAACCACATCTGCGGTCAGGAGGATTGTGTGTCCCAGGAGAATGTCATGTCCTTTGAGGCAATAATCCAGCATAATACACACAGAGAGAAACACACAAGCCCACACATGATATGTGTGTGTGTGTGTGAGAGGGGGGGCTATAGTAGTCACACAATGATATATTTGAGATTTCCACATTCTTAAAAACAATTAGTGCAATATATTTCACTGATATCCTCTGTGCTCTGAGTCCTTATCCTCTCACTCTCTTGGGGAGAATGACATTTTTCTCACTGAAGGATGTTAGGAGTCTGAGTCCCCTCTTGAGAGTCAGACTGGACATATCTGTTTGTGTTTGCAGGCAAGTGCTGACATTTGGAAGGAAAAGATTAAATGTAATTAGTTGGCAAATCCTCACACGATGTAATGAATGATGTGATTTAGTGTCAACTGCTATTATAAGCTCTCCTTATCCTGTGGCATGAAATGAAATGTAGTATTGTGACATATTATTTGACCATTGAAAGTATTAATATAAATCACTAATTTTTTCATTTTTCCATGAGTCATCAAAATAGTCATCAAAACTACATAATTAACTTTCATGTCATCTTTTGATGAAACATATTTGTCATGTTTACTGTAAATATTTAAATTAATAAATTTAATACTTTCCTAGTCACATGTGATTTTGGCAATGGTCCAACTTATTTCTATCAAAAGCATGTGCAATAAAACTTGTAATTAAAAGTTAAGCGTTAGTGAGCAAGACATGAGTAAGGTACTGAACACTTACTTTACAGAAAAAGCAATAACTGAATATCTAATGTGTTGTTGAAGTAAAACAGGAATGGCAGGGAGAATAATTGTGATTCTTGAATAGGACATTCTCTCTATTATCTTCAATGACTAGGCACAATGTTGTCTGTGACAGTTCACATGTAGTACATGTTGTCTCAACCTTAAACACTAGAAGTCATACTTTTGCACATAGTTTTCCAGATTTAAAATATAATTGCTTGAATTTAATTATGATTTAGATATTAGCAGTTACTATTCTGAAAAAGAGGCATATAGCCAAGGGGAATTCTATTAGTTTTCAGGGAATTGAACAATTAAGTTATTTTTCTCTTGCTCAGGTGCCTGACCCTCACAATAACAGAATAAGAACCAAAATGTGAAGAGTGATAATTCCATTTACGTTGAGAACATATCTCAGCTTCTCTTACATCTAAGTGCATCCATAACTATTTATTACCAATAGGAAACAAAGTACATTTAGTTAAATTAGGTCATATTTGTTTATTGCTGGTCTCATTTGCTATGTTACTAGAGTATTATTTAGAAAGTCTTCAACTATGTCTATAAGTTGAAGTAAATTACCTACTTTTGCTTCTAGTAATGTAAGGGTATCAGGTCTTATGTTGAGGTCCTTGATCCATATGGGAGTGAGTTTTGTGCAGCATGAAAGATAAGAACTGACTTCCATTTTTTCTGCATTATAATTTTCAGTTTTTCTAACACCATTTGCTAAAGATTCTGTCCTTTTTGTCAGTTTTGTATCTTTGCAAAAAAATTAAATGGCTGTAGGATTATGAGTTTATAGCTGAGTCTTAAGCTCACTTACCTTCTTCACTAGACTACATGCTTCTCAGTCAGGATTGGCTGGCAGGGGCCAAGAGAAAGCCAGCTGGAGTTGGGCCTGGGTTAGGTTAGGATGAGTTAAGAAGGAAAGTTGGAGAAGTTCTGCATGATTCACTGAAGATGGGGACAGAGAGGTGGTGGAAGCCTTTTTAGATGATCTGCTACAGAGATGGAAGTAAGACTGAGGGATTATATTTGCTGGAGAGGAGGGAGCATTGAAGATCCACATTTAGATTACTTTTTTCCCTGGCAGGAATAGCCTATGGGCTACCAGAGAATGCCTGCTGGATTAAGTGATGGGGATAAAGTGATGAGTAGGAGAAGAAATATTGGAGGGGAAGATCTGCATATTCCAAGATTTAGGGACAGGGATGGAGATGAGACTGGAATAAGTGGGTCTTCTATATACCTGGGGATGTAAAAGAGGGTTTGAACTTAAAGACAAGAGGGAGAGATGAAGATATACAGTTACCCTACCTGTTTCCTTGACTTTCAGGGTCAGTTATTCCCAGGGGATGCCTGTTGATGTTAGAGGCTGGAGTAGTAGGATGAGTTGGGTGAAATAATATTTTAGGAGAAGCTCTACATGCTCTGTTGAGGTTGGGAGTCAGAGAGGAAGGGGAGACTACAGTAGGTGTTCTGTTGCAGAGCCGGGAATGAGACTGGGGATAGGACTTGGAGGAATGGAGAGAGAGGTGAAGATATGCAGTTAACTGACCTGCAGGCTCCAAAGTAGTGATTTTTTTAACATATAAAAACTCCTGAAATAGTCGAGAGACTACATTAATAGCCCCTCCCTGATGATAAGGTGATGACTACCTTATATGCCATCATAGAACCTTTATCCAGTGACTGATGGAAGCAGAGACTCACAACTAAACACTGAACTGAACTCCTGGAACCCAGTGACATAGATGGAGGAGTGATGAGCAAAGTGGTCAAGACCGTGCTGGTGAAACCCACAAAGACAGCTGACCAGACAAGGGGGAATCTCTTGAACCCCGGACTGATGACTGAGAGGCCAATGGGGGACTGATCCAAACTCCATGAATGTAGAGTCAATGAGGAGGCCTCAGAAATCTCTGAGGCCTTGGGTAGTAGATCAGTGTTTACCATGGCGTACAAATGAACTCTGGGAGTCCATTCCACGTGGAAGGATGCTCTCTCAACCTGAACACATGGGGAAGGGCCTAGGTCTTGTTCTGGATGAAATGACAGACTTTGGAGATCCCCCAAGGAGGGCCTCACCCTCCCTGGAGAATGATGTGGGGATTGGGTTGGGGGATGGGGGAGCTGGTGGAGGGACAAGGGAGAAGGGGTGGGAGAGGGAGCTGGGATTGACATGTGAAGCATGAATGTTTCTAATTTAAATAGAAACATATATTGAGGAAAAAAACTCCTGAAAATATTTCTCATGTTTTCTTTAATATTTTAAAGTAAATAGTTTCATATATTAACAGCTCAGTGTATCATACTGTTTACACATTTTGTTATATATAATTTATTAAAGAATTCAGGGGCATTTAGTATATGGTACTATAAAAATAGAGATATAGACTGAAATAAACAATGTATACAGTTACTATGTAATAAAGACATGTGAGATATGTCTGGATAGAAAGAAGAAGTCAGAAGGGCATCAGGGGCTAGAATTTGCAAGACTTTTGAGATATAACTAGTCAGTTAAGATTGTCATC